CCTTCAGGGGCAGCAAGGTCAAGTTGGGGCTCCATCTTCTGGCTGCCTGCGTACGGAAAGTTCGGCCTCAATAGCTTGGGCCGCTCGGTCACGAAGGCGTTGCAGTTTCCTGTGCTTGGCTGCGCTGTGAGTCCGGCAAAGCGAGTGGTGTCTCGGGCACCACTTGGCAAACTCCCACACGGCAATGAAACCAATGCCTACAAAACCCAGAAGCAACATGAACAATAAAGCCGCGCTTGGCTCAACCTGATGAACTTCTCCCTCCTCCTCTTCAAGAAAGTCCAGCTGACCAGAAGCACCTTGGATGCGAAAAAGAACAAGCAGGGTGAGCAGTGCAGGCGCAAGCTGATCACGTAGACCTACGGCATCTGATTCTGCAGCACGGAACAGGCCAAACACGCTCCAACAAGCTGCTATCACGAGGCTGTCTTCTGCTGCAGTCAAACGCACAGTGAGCCAAGTCAACGGTCCACGCAAACCGTTTCCAACGGGCACACTTGACGCAAACTGAGTGGCCGACGCGGCACCCAAGAGTCCTGCCAGCTCGGCGGCTGGATTGGGACCTTGGACCTGGGCACCTTGCACCTGTGCACCTGCAAGTCCTGCCAGCCTGGCTGCTCCAAGGACTTGCAAAAAGACAAGCAGCATGACTTCTGCACACACTGGCTGATCACGCAGACCAACTGCACTCGCTTCCGCAAAGCGAAACAGGCCAAGCCCGAGCACGCCCCACAAAGCTGCTGCCACAAGGCCGTTCGCTACTGCGGCAAAACACGAAGTTGTGACCAGCACAGGTTCTGCAAGGAGTTGGTGGGACTCCTCCTGGACAGGAGGCTGCTGCACTACACCACTAAAACCACACCACCTATCGCACTGCTCCTCCTCAACCCAACACCCAGAGTACGGCGCTGGAGCACCAGCGGCTGCTACGGTCGGTGCGTGAAACATGCCGACGTGCAGTGAAGGCACGTTTACATGAAGCATGCCAAACAGGAGCAGCCACAACAGCAACCGAAAGAGGAAACTAGCCGTCAGACACTGGTAGTTTGCCAAGCGTGCGCCTGCGCGAAGTGGTGAGTTGGGGATCCCACCCTCCCGGGGGGAGGCTGCGGGAGCACTGTTGGGCGCTGCGGTTGAGCGTCCTCCTCCTGGCTTGTTGGCTGTTGGCTTAACCTCACGCGGCCCAAACACACACAACCCACCAAGACCATCTAAACTAAACCTACCCGGGCGACACTGCAGTGGACCTGGCACTACTGCAGGCCCATCTCTTCCGAGTGGCGAGTGTGGCAGACGCGTCCAGTCCAAATCATAGACGCTTGAATCCCAAGCGCTATCATCTAGCTGGCATCTCGTGGGGTTACACTCATCGTCGGCGTCCAACCTGAACCACATAGTTGAGGACTGCTGTACTTTTGGATCCAAAATTTGGGTCCCGCAATCCCACTCACATGTCTCAACTTGCACCTTGAATTCACCCATCAGCTGCTCATCTTTTGCAACGTCAGGAACTGCATAGACACCACCATTGGCTCTGCCAGGATCCATGCATTCACCCCCGAAAAACCTCCCAGCGCACCAACGCGTGTGAAGGCTCACCTCCGGGAAAGTATCCACCAGGTCTGTAGAGATCGACACTCTCCTGGCGGACTCATTCTGGCTAACAAGCCATATTGCTCCAACGCACTCTCCAGGTAACCTTATACCCCCCAACACAGCATCTCCACCTAGATCTGTAGCAACATTGGCATCATCCAAGGTGGCCTGATGCGTGCTGACGATAGGCCTTGGTCCTGGACCTCCGTCTGGAACACTAATCAAGGGTGGCACTGAAATTAATGTGCCCTGTATACCACCCTCCACGGTGGTCGAAGTCTGTGGTGCGCTCAGGTCCAGGTTTGCAACCCCAGCTGGCTCAACACCCCCAAAATTCCTTTTCGCAGCCATAATAGGTTCAAAGCCCACTCCACCAGATTGGCCATGTTCCAGCGCTGGCGTTGAACCTTGTGGAATCTGCACGCCATCCCTCCCGAGAGGTGGGGATGGCTGCTGCGTTACGGTGCCGTAACCCTGCCCAAGCGTTGGGCTCATAACCTGCTGGTGTGAACCAGCAGGCTGAGCGGGAGCAGAAAACAGTGGAGTTGCAAGATCCCTGGTTTCGTCCCTCCCCCCAGCAGACATGGCTCACACAAATGCGAATTTTCTTTTTACACAAGCAAGAAAGAGCAATGTTGGTATGAAGTCTTTGCTATGCACTACTGTTGGACTACGGCACTGCTACACTGTGAGAGAGTGCTTTAAACATGTGCTCATGACCTTCTTGGGCCTACAAGCAACAGGGAAAACAACAAGGATACCGACAGCTAATCATGTACAGGCACTACGCTTCAACACAAACCCTAAACCCTAAACCCTAAACCCTGAACCCTAAACCCTAAACCCTAAACCCTAAACCCTAAACCCTAAACCCTAAACCAAGAACCCTAAGAACCCCAAGAAC